GGGTGAAGTAAAAGGCTTGATTGCATTAAATTTACAACAAATTTATGAAATTTTACAACATCCAAAAATAGATCGTAGTAATCCAACAAATTTATTATATCATATTTTTATGCATCTATCAATTCTTCTTGTGATGCATGGTGGTGAACACTATCAACTAAAAATTAATCAGTTTAAAATTGATAGAAATGGCAGTATACAGTTTATTCGTTATACTTCAAAAAATAATCAGTGTGAACTTCAAACAGGTCAAGCACAAACTATTTCAAATCCATTAGATACTTCTAAACCTTGTGATGATATAAAATTTTATTTGTCAAAATGACCTTCTGTTGCTAATTCAGAATTTTATCTACAACCAAGTGCTGACTGGGTGAAATCGTGCATTTAGTATAAGAAAAATCATGTAGGAAAAAACAAATTAATGAATTTTATGCATGAAATTGAACATATAACACAAATTGATATCTCTATAGAGTTACTTATGAACCATTCTTGATGAAAAACTGCTGCGCAATGTTTACAAGATTATAATATTCCTGAACAGACAATTATGCAACTTACAGGACATAAAAGCGTTCAAGGAATTCATGCTTACAAGCAGATTAATGAGGATCAACAACTTCATACTATAAATACTCTGATCAATATTACGGAGGCAAATAGTGATAACAATAATAGCAATTCAAGTTCATAAACCCCTTTACAAGAAATTATAAATATGAATTTTTAAAGCATAACATTAATTCTAACAATGAAAAATTCTCCCAAATGCCTATTTTTAATAATTGTTCTTTTATGAATATTACATTTAATATTCAAAATCAGTGACAATTAGAAATTCAAATGTTAATATATTTTCTTATTAAATTTGTAATTTAATAAGCACTTATAATAAAAACAATACATCAGCTTATAAAATTGAAACTATATAACTATACAACTCTTAAAATGTCGAGTATTTTTTATTAAATTGTTATATATTTAATATTGATAACCAAAAAATTTATAAAATTAACTTTAATCATAGATGCAGCCACCACCTTACCAAATAAAACATCCATTGTAGTTGGTAAGAAAAATGATGTAAGTG